AGGAAGGGAGGGTGGGAAGGGGGTCTCGGCAGCAGGGGGCTGCGCAGGGAGGGATGTCCCCGGTGGCCTGGGCCCCCCCGCCAGTCCCCGTGCTCCCCCCGGCCCGGGGGGGCCGTGGGCAGGAGGGCCTCAGTCCCTTCATGTTATTCACTTTGCTATAACTGGGTGGGACGCCCTATACAGAGGGACTCGCTTCCGACAGACTAATAAAGGACAAGTTTTTAAAGGATTCTGGCTCCGTCCTGTGTCCCTGTCCCCCTCCCAGTGGTGGTGGCAGTGACGGGTGGCCTAGCCCATGTCTGGTACCCGTAGCTCTGCCCAAGCCTGGGGACGTGCTGGGTCCTTGGTCCGGGGATGCCACGCGCCCCACTGCATCATCACAGCCCACAGTGACAGCCCCAGTGATGAGGGGGACCTCCATGCCCTGTCCCACAGTGACAGCCTGTGGGATGGCTGGGATGTCCATGCCCTGTCCCATGGTGACAGCCTGCAGGATGAGGGGGACATCCATGTCCTGTCCCGTGGTGACAGCCTGCGGGATGAGGGGGACATCCATGCCCTGTCCCGTGGTGACAGCCTGCGGGATGAGGGGGACATCCATGCCCTGTCCCATGGTGACAGCCTAGGGACCCAGGAGGAGGTCCATGCCCTGTCCCATGGTGATGGCCTGGGGATGCAGGGAGATGTCCACGCCCCGACTCACGGTGAGAGCCTGAGGACCAAGGGGGTTGTCCGTGCCCTGCCCTTGGTGACGGCCCAGGGGACGAGGGATACATCCGTATGCTGTCCCATGGTGACAGCTTGGGGGATAAGGGGGACATCCATGCCCTCCCCATGGTGACAGACCAAGGGATGATGCCCTGGACATCCCGTCCATGCCCTGTCCCACAGTGACAGACTGGGGACCCAGGGGGATGTCTGTGCCCTGTCCCATGGCGACAGCCCGGGGAACGAGAGCGATACCCATGTCGAGCCCCACGGTGACGTCCCGGGGCAGAAGGGGACACCCCTGCCCTGCCCGCGGTGACAGCCCCAGCGCCCCGCGTGCCCCGACTTCCCCCGGCCCCTCCCTCATTCAC